TTTTGTGTGTCGTACATGTTACAACCCCAGTTAAGTTACTAATATAACTTAACTGGGGTTGGAATCCAACCCGCAACTCAACATAGTATTTTTATTGAGAAACGAACACACAGTCCACCTGATGGTAATTGAATTCTGTGGCCTATAGACTACATCTACAAATTATTCTCAATTAAGAATCAAATTGCAGATGCGTTGTCACCCCTGAGGACTAAGATGGAATGCCTCGTTTCCAGTAAAAAGGGTATCCGGTCTTCTACGCTCAACATACGAAAGATATCAGTATTAAGCTGCTATTTTACGCTGGTATTCTGTGAGAGCGTAGTTCTACCGCGGTTGAGCCGACCTATTCGTGCTGCAATCATAATATAGCTTGCGTGGCTCTACCACGTGGTAGAGCCATGCTGTAGCTATATTAGTAGTATAGTTGTAGCATGAATGCGTCGGCTCAACCGGGGAAGGACCACGCTCTCACAAAATACCAGCGTAAAATAGCAGCTTATAATACTGCCGTCTAAAATGGTAACTTGACTCTGCTGTGTTTCGTATGGTGAGTGTAGAGAACCGGAGACCCATTTTACTGGAAAAGAGAGATTCCATCTTAGTCTTCACGGGTGACGATGCATCTGCATTTTGATACTTTATTGGGGATAAATGTACATGTCTATGGGTCACAGCAACCACTTACCATCAGGTGGACTGTGTGCTCTTTTGTCACCTATTCTATAAAAAAAAACACGTATAATAGTCGTAGTACTTTGAACGTTAAGTCACTTGTGTACGTATGTACATGCGTCAGTTAGAGATCGATAATTCATTGTAATGGCGACAGGGCGTCTAGTACTATTAACTTTCGTTCATGTTTTTTTTACTAGTACGCTTTTTTATAACCTTGACCTATATGTATGTTGGTAGGTTTTGACCGACTTTCAGATATCTGAATAATATGAAATATTGCAGACGTATTCAGGAATGACTAAGATGACAATACAATACATAGAGAGAGTATATAATAGTACTACGTACCCTAGTATTAGAAATATAAACTTTTTGGAACGAAGTTTATTATCGCACGGTACGAAATTGGCGGATGGGGGCTAGGCGAGAAAAAGGTCGGCCTTGGCGGCTATAAGGAAGCGAGATGGAATAATATCCATCTCCCTCTCGCGCTTTTTCTATCTTGCCATGAAAAAAATATTATTTTATTTAAATGTCGCTTTATTTTAATAGACGCTAGTAATTCATTTATTTATATTTGTTAATCCATAATATAATACGTTTATCAATAATAATATAAGTACTACGAAAGGTACTTCGTTCCATCCGAGTGTTCCACGACACTCACGCATGTTTTTTATTTAATATAGATTATAAATAACACTTATTGAAGTCACTCTTATGTTTAATTTATCACTGATTCGAAAAGTACCACTGACCTGAGAAGAACCAGCAAGAAATCCAGCAGGACATTTTTTAAAAAAATAAGAACAGTATATTTTACACAATAATTAACTTTCATCACTGTTTATGCGTGTTGTTTAAGTTCTTTTAAACTCATATATTACACTACCAACAAAATTTCAAACATTAAATTACATAATATGCGGCTTAGTTGTTTTGTTCTGTAATAGTCCAAAACTTTTTTTTTTACTGAAGTAAAAAAGTTAAAGTTACAGCATATATACTTCCCACTGCTGGGCACAGACCTCCTCTCATTTCTGGGATGGTTTTAGGGCAAGGAAATATCCGCCGCGCTGGTGAAGTTTTTTCTTATTTCTCAGACATGCCGGTCTCCTCACGATCTTTTCCTTCACCGCCGAGCACGTGGTAAATTGGCACTTAAAGTTGCAATTAACAATTTCATTGGTGTCGGCGGGGATCGAACCCGAGTTGCTTGCGTACTATGAAATTTACAGAAGTAAGGGTGGCAATAATTTATATTATGGTTGTAGCATCGTAGATGTAGATCGGCTCGATCGGGGAAAGAACCCGCTCTCACAGAATACCAGCGTAAAATAGCGGTTATTGCTGCTGTGTTTCGTATGGTGAGTGTATGGAACCGGACGGTGACCCTTTTTACTGGATACGAGGTGCATCTTAGTCCTAAGAGGGGACAACGCATCTCCATTTTGATTCTTAATCGTTGATAAGTGTAGATGTCTATGGACTACAGTACCTACGTATCATCAGGTGAATTATGTGCTCGTTTGTCACCCTTATTCTATAAAAGAAAGACAAACCCGCACACATTTCACTTGATGGTAAGTGGATGCTTTAGCACATAAACATCTACATCTATCCTCGAATTAGAAGCAAAACGCAGATGCGTTGTCACACCTTCGGCGTGATGCCGAGACATTCTAGCATATTAATGCTGCTATTTTTCGTATAGAAGTGAGTGTAGAAAACTGAAAATCCTTTAGTTTTCTGCATTTTGATTCTCAATCGAAAATAGATGTACAGTAGATGTTTATGAGCCACAGCAATCATTTACTGTGTGCTTATTTGTCGCTCATAATCTATGGAAAAGAATTACAAAATTATGACATAGGTTCTGCTAGCGAGTTCCGTAGTCGAGTAGTATTGTTTAATGAAATTATATTTTGTATTCCAATATCCAAAGCCCATTTTCCAGCGGCAACGTGACAGGTTAAACGTTTCATTTCTAGATACGGCTTGTAGAATAGTCTGGAAGCCTCGGGAACAAACGAAACTTTCAGGAACTGTAAAAAACGTCTAGGTGTTAGTATTATTTCACCGAGACCTTTAAGTTTTAAGGCGACGTTATTTTTCGAATATATAACAATAAATATACAATCTTTGTCAAATTTAAATGTAAGAAAGCATTGCAAAATGTATTTTTCATGTGTTAAAACCTTAGTATAAACTTTTCCCCTTTGCAAGCAATTTATTTTCCTACTGACGACGAGATAGAGCTCATTTTACGGAGAAATCATAAACGAAAACTCTATGCGCATGTGTAGCAGGCAGTAAGTAATCGTTATAAGGGACTCTCATCTTTAAAGTTTAGCAGTAAAGTGTAGAATGCCATGACGTTGCAAAATTGCACCCTCTTAGCGCATCTATCATTGCTCCGGATGGTATCAAACTACAACAACCAACCTTCATTGTATTTCGGAATCCAAACGTTGAAAGTCTTGTTGTGATAATAATTGTTGATTTTTCCAATCCTATTAGTGATTTTTAATCTGTGCACTCTGGGTGTAATTTCTATTTAAGTGCTCTCTTTTATAATTTTGGGCATTTAATAATTGATAGACCTCTTTGTTTATCATTGTGTTCATATTGTATTATTCTGTGATACTTATCACAAGCTGCGACTTAATTTTTTTATTTACACTTTTTACATTCTCATTCTACGCCGCGTGTTACAAACATAGAAATTAACAGTTGTTTTATTGTGAATAACGTAACGTACTTACTTTCACGTGAACTACACAAATCAGTGTTTGAATATTTCGAGAATATTCTCAAATCGTATCGAAATATACAATATTGGGTGGTCCAATCCAGCTTTGCCTCAAAATGGCCGATACAAAAGGTGTTCTTTTTATGAATATGTGTAATAATATAGTAAATACTCGTAGCATATTTTGAAGAGACAACATAATTATATTCATGAATGGGTGCGAGATGTGTGCTATACCAGCGTGTGTCTGTATATGCTATGCTTGTGGTGTGTGCTGCGTGTGTTAGTGAGATTATTTAAGTACGTACTTGTGTGTGGAAGTTATGACTCCTTAGGAGTAGCGTGTAAAATGTAAATACACATCACATTACACAAGTTGCACTGCTCACGCAATTACATAGTTCTTGTTGAGTCCGATTCGCCTCTGCTTTTGTAATGTACTGTTTACTAAGGAGTCTCAATAGAAAGGGTCATTGGACATGATATACGACCAACAGTAGTGACAGCTTTCTAAAAATGTGCTCGAATCCTATAACTTTTCGTACTATATTACGATACGATTTTTTAAATACGAAGTTCATTTATAATATTTTTATACGTATATGTTGTGTGTAAACGACTTTGTAATAACTGAGCCGTTTGGTCTAAATACGTATTATGTTTGATAAATGGTTCCATTTTTGCTCTGTAAAACTGATCGTGAAAGAAAACTGTTTTTTTTTTATAATATAGAAACCAGAAAAAACTATAAATAGATATAGAAACCAGTTATCACCACTGTAAATTCAATTGTGACTCTTTTGTGCAAATTATACCCTAAATAAAAAAATATTTATTTCTCAAACATGTAAGTGTTCGTATGAAAGTTTTAACTGAAATTAAAAGTTATCTTGCTACTTGTATATAGTAAAAATAGGCAAGAATCGCCACTTCGTAGCGTTACTGCGAGTTAGCGAAATTTACTCTACTTTCGATAACACCACTAGAAAACTATAATAAACTTAATGGATAAAGCAGTAATTAAAAAAAAAACCTTAACAGCCTATAACAACTTTACTGAAAAGAGAAAAATTCAAATATTATACTTTCACTATCATTTTGGCACTTTCACAACTAAGGTGAACCCCATATGCTAAAAGCCATCAAACCGTTTAGGTTAAAGAGTATGCCAAAGAAATATACATACATACACTGGAAAACATCCCCCCCCCCCCCGATCCCTCCCCTCCCCTCTAAAGCAGTCTGAATTAAATAGTAATGACGTCTCAATTTTAAGTCACGATTTTCATAGTTTTCTATTAGTGTTAACAAATATAAAATGCCAATTTGACTGCGGGAGGGAGACCTTTGTTTACAAGTAGACTTTTGATAGCTGTAATAAATGAATGAACAAATTAATCTAACCCAGCTAAACAGAGATAGTAGAGATAAGTTGTTAATATTGATAATAATCTAGAAGTAGATAACAGTTTGAGACTCTTTTGTAAATTACAATGCATGTTATATGTTGTTAGCTATATAATTGTATACCCTTACATAGACTAAGTAACTAACGCAAATTTGTGAACAGATCAATCAGCGCAAGGCGGGTATCCTCAAGGGGGCTACCCACAAGGAGGTTATCCACAAGGCGGCTACCCACAAGGCGGCTACCCACAAGGGGGCTACCCACCGGGAGCATACCCACAGGCTGGCTACCCTCAAGCAGGATATCCAGCACCGCAGCCTGGCGTCCAACCTGGTTATGGAGCAGGATTTGGCGAGGTATATTCTATATTATTATATGCATAACATTATCATCCATCCATCCATCCATTACAGCCTATAAATGTCCACTGCTGAACATAGGCCGCTCTCATAGATTGCTTCATAGGGAGCATTTTTCATAGTTGCCATGTTTGGTATGCAGGTTAGAAATCGCGGTTTACTATAATTTTGAGTGGTTATCAGGAAGATGCTGCTGCCCATCTCCTGTTTTAGTTTCTCTCTATTGCCTCTTACGACACCCACGGGACATTATGGGGTAGTTCTTGCACCACCACTACGCAGTCAATATTATGATTATCAACTTATTATATTAAGTAATGACCTTCCATCATTTACTTTTACTAAGCTAAGTGACTTATTGAAAGCCCATTCTATCCTGTCTCAAAGATATGTATGTACATTATTATCGGATGGAAAAACAGACTTATCATATCAATAATTATAACTTTCAACAAAAAGTAAACACCAAATTCAAATTACTAAAAAAGAAGTTATTTGTTTGCTGAAAAATAAAAAATTACACCCCCAAGAGGTGGAATTTTTTTCTTTAATATGGGACCACCCTTGAAGTATAACCTATTTAATAAAAAAAGAATCATCAAAATTGGTTCACAACCTGCGAATATATCGCGTAACATACATACAAAAAAACATACACTCGAAATGAGAACCTCTTTCTTTTTGAAGTCTGTTGTAAAATATGAACTATCTTTTCAAGAAAGACATGCCAATTGCTGTTTTTAAGAAATACCTTTATCAAACAGAGGACTTAAAAATGCTATTGTCATGTCTCATGCTTAATATGCAGGATTCAGATGTTGAATTTGAAAATAAATTTGAATGCATTCAACAAACTTCTGTGGAATGTGGTCATAATTAAACTTATCAGCAAATTAAATGCCAATTACTTCAACACAGTAGGTTATGCAAATGACCTGACAATACTTGTCTCTGGAAAGACAGCAAGCATGGTGTGCAACCTGACCCAAGCAGGTCTCCGTACAGTAGTGTGGAGAGATGGTGCAGGGAATATGACTTAACCGTTAACCCAAATAAAACGGTTCTAGCAATGTTCACACAAAAAATATGTCTGTTTTTTTGATTCCTAATCATTGTTAGATATAGGCGATTATGAACCACAGCATCGACTTACCATCTGATTTACTGTGTGCTCATTTGTCACCCTCAATTATTATACTTCATCAAAAACATTTCCCACTTTGTAACTCCATTTAAAGGGTTAAATAAATTATGGTTTATAATATATATAATAATACATTTTGACAGTTCAAATAATCTATAGGGTCTAGATTGTATGTCACTTATTAAAACTGGTGTAGGTCTTAACTAATAAATTGTTGTTATAAATTCGTTATTTGTTAAAATTATTGATTTGAGCTAAAGAAATAACATTAATGTGTATCATGATACCAAGTTTCCTTGCGGTATTTAATTGTAAATCAATTATTATATTACATTTTTATGACAAATATAGACTAAGATGGAAAACTTGTTCCTATAATTAAATTTTAGCCTTGCAAACTAAATAATACCACCAGTGGAGGACCAGTGCAGGAGGGCTATGCTCGTAATTTCCCTGTATGATAGACTTCATAATGAAGATATTCGCAATAAAACTATAGTAACCGAGACAGCCAAAATGACTTAGTAAGCTAGCTGCAATGGGCCAGCCATATGCCTTAAAGAACCTGCAATCGATGCGGAATGTTCCCAAGTGGCGGTCTTGTACCGGTAAGCGAAGTGTAGGGCGCCCTCCCCCGCTCTCCCTAAATAACGTAACAACCTGGTAAGACATGTGCAGAAAATTTATGAATGCATGTTGGTCAGGACCGAGTTCTGTGGCGGAGGCCTAAGTTCAGCTGTGAACAATGGTAATAGTGTATCAGAGTATATACAAGATGGTGTACTGTATAAGAGTCCTACTAGTAAACTATTCACTTTCTAAATAAGTTAACACTAATTCTGACTACAGCTGTACACAAAGATGCTTGACGATTACAGGAATGCGTTATTTTGATGATTTTTGAGATGATAAATTTTTACCAACCAAATTTTTATTTACAGCCGGCTGGTTATCCGGCTCCAGGCCCAGGCTCCCTGGGTGAGGATGCGGACGTCAAGGGGTTTGACTTCACAGAGCAGAGCATACGGAAGGCATTTGTACGAAAGGTGAGTCTGGAGGCTATCGCTCAATCTATTGATATGTAGTCATTGTATTTGCCGACTGAGTAACATGTTCAAACCCCACCCGGACCAGAGCCAACATTTGAGCAAATTAACAAATGATTGGGTATAGATGTACTGTGCAAAAGGGTGTAGCGAGATAAATATAGTCTGTCTGGACCCAGTGGAAATATTATCAATAACTGTATTATATTTTAGATAGACCTATGAGGAGTTTATTAGTATACTTGTTTTGGGCCAAAACAAAGTAGTTATAGAGATAATATAAAAGTTTTCAAAATGATGATTTAGTGGAAAATATTTTTTTTATTTTATCTATATGGCCCTTGGTATTTTGGTTATGTCACAATAATTCTGCCAATGTCTGGTCTTTGGTCTGTTACACCTTGTCTTGAGACTTTTCGGTGGAAAAGGAGTTGCGGTTATTAGGTGAAAATGTGGATAAAAACAAAGCAACTAAATACTTGAATTGTGGACCACACAATATAGAGCAAACATCTAGCTATAAGAGGGGAGGGGATTAGCCTGGGCAGGGAATAGAGAATTAGGTTAAGCTAAATTTAGTACACAATAATTAGAGTTTAATATTATACATTTGAATATATTTTGAGATCATATTGACATATATGGAATCGGGGATAGTTAAGAGGGAATTGATATTCACTGGTCGAGGGATTGTTTTGGGAAGAATGTCATTTAAAGAAATTGGGTGATTTTGACAATTGAAGAAAATGTGGTCTTGGGGTACCTTCATTTAGACCACATTCACAGAGGGAATGATCTTTGATTCTAATTTTAGCTAGAAATACAGGAGTGCAGACATGCCCGACCCTTAAACGGCAGATTGTAGATGTGATTTGTTTGTTCAAAAAGCTAAATTTAAAAAACCAAGGTTTTGGAGGAATTTGGGGTTGGATTTTACCAAAGTAGCAACCTTTAATATGTCTGGATATGCTCCATTTTCTGTCCCAAGAATTCTTTAATTCAATTTGAGCTAATGACATTAGATCTTGACATTCATTAAATGAGAAGGACAGCTAGTATCTGTAGCTCCTTTGGCCCAGGAGTCAGCCTGTTAATTTTCTTCTATGCCAGAATGACTAGGAATCCACACAATCTCTACATCAAGCCCACTCTTATTACAATTTAGTATGAGTTCTTTAATTTTCAGTATTAATGGGGAGATGGATTTCATTTTAAATATATTGCTCTGTAACGACATTAGGCAGCTTTTCGAATCAGTAAATATAACTGACTTAGGAATTTTATGGGAAAGAATATAGGATATAGCCTCATATATGGCTACAGCTTCCCTAGTAAAAACAGAAGCCTGAGGAGGACATCTATAATTAAAGACAATTTTATATTTGGGATCCAGACTGCAGAACCCATTGAGTTATATGTACTACGTACTAAAGAAGCCATTCCGGTACTGCAATCTGTACAAACTAAATATTGCGTAAATTGAAGATTTGTGAATTCCATAAAATTATTATTATTATATTTTATTTAGAAATATGTTTGTTTAGATTAAATTTATATAAAATATATTAAATACTTATATTTATTTTATATTAATATCTTATTTTATATCAAAGTCTTCGCGCATGCGCGGGAATAGTAGTCGTAAGACATAGAATAGGACACAGTTTTTGTTTGGAATGGCTTCTCTAGTATGTAGTACATATAACTCAATGGCAGAACTGACACATTTGAATGAAGACAATTTGGAAGCACCAGTAAAAATATATAGCCAATCAGGCCATTTTTTTAATGGAAAATATTATTCATATTTTTTTCTCATACCAAAAATTATTTGGTTTCTAATCATTGGTCATTTAATACCATCTTCAAAAACTAAAATATTTAAAAAATTGTTCAGTACTGTTCAGTTTAGAACTGTTCAGTACTACATGTTTAAAATATTTTCAGATATAATAAAAAAATTATAGAAAGAAATGTTGATTTGACGGCTTCTTAGCGCAGTGCCTTAGCAATGAGTTGCAGCACTAAGAGCTACAAATAATTGTTTGGGGTCTGGATGTTTGTTACCCTTGTGAGTTTATATATGTAAACTGCTCCCACAATACAGGAGAAATCCTAATGTTGAGGTAACATTATTATAAATATTAAAAATTTGTCCTTTTCTTTCTTACATAAATAATATTTAATTTTACCTTAATTTCAGGTTTACTCTATCCTTATGGCTCAGCTAGTGGTGACTCTGGGTTTCATTACTCTTCTCACATACCATCAGCCCACGCAGCTTTGGGTGCGTAGGAATCCTTATTTGTTGTGAGTATTATTTTATTTATTCTGCTTTTTCATCATCAGCTCATAAAAATCCACTGCTAGACTTTGGTATCCCGTTGTACGATAATCTTGGCTTAATCATCACTCTTGGCAGGCAGAATGACGATTGCAGTAACAGACGTCTCATAGAGTGTTTTTCTAATGGTTAAGGGTGACAAGGGAGCACACAGTCCACCTGATGGTAAGTGGTTGCTGTGGCCCATAGACATCTACATTTATTCTCGTTTGCGAATCTAAATGCAGGTGCGTTGTCAGCCGCGAGGACTAAGATGAAATGCCTCTTTTCCAGTAAAAAAGGTCTCCAGTTCTCTACACTCACCATAAGAAACAGCAGTGTTAAGATGCTATTTTACGCCTTTTTACTGGAAACGAGGCATTCCATCTTAGTTTTCACGAGTGACAACGCATCTGCATTTTGATTCTTTATTGAGGATAGTAGTAGATGTCTATAGACCACAGCAATCATTTACCATCAGGTGGATTGAGTGCTCGTTTGTCACCCTATTCTATAAAAAAAAACATCAGGCAGTAGCGTTAAATGGTAAAATGCGTCACCTGTATTTGTAACTGATTCAATCAAGAATAGAAACTACGCGTAGGTACCGGATCGGTACACTATCTGATTGGAGAGATTCAATGAAATATGTCTATGTGTATATACGAAAACTATATAGGTATAGCCATGTAGTATCCACATAGGTAATAAAAAACGACTATAATATAGCCCTTTTATTCCGAACTACATGCAGTTTAACATTTTTGATTTTATGAATTTTTATTTCTTATAGTATACCTCACAATTCGGCGTACCTCTTGCTATAGGCCTCCTCCAGCTCTCTCCATTGAGCTCGGTCTTCTGCAACACAGATCCAGTATGATCCTAGGGTTAGGCTGATATCGTCACTCCATCTTGTTTTCGGACGCCCCGCTCTTCTGATGTCCCCTCTTGGATACCATAAGGTATCCAAGAGGGGACACCTGCTGTGTCTTTTACCAGGTGTTCTAGTCCCTTAGGATCTTCTAACAGGACAATATCATCTGCAAATCTCAAATTATTGTGTCTGCTTTCATTGATTATAATACCGTAATCATCCCAGTCTAATCTTCTAACTATGTGTCACAGCATTAAAAAGCTTTGGAGATAATGGGTCTCCTTGTCTCACGCCTCTGTTTATTGGAAAGAGATCTCCTTTTTAACTCTTAATTTAATACTGACTTCGCTTTTTTTTGTAGATGGACTTGATTAGTTCTATGTAGACATCGTTCACTCCTTGTTCTTATAGACTCAGCAAGATAAATTTGTGTTTTATGCTGTCAAATGCTTTGGAGTAGTCTATAAAGCAGATATACAATGTATTCTGGTATTCATTGTATTTTTCCAAGACTTGTTTGATTGTGTCGATGTGGTCTATAGTACTGTAGTTCTTTCTAGAATTACTTTTGCGAATACTTTGTGCACATTTGATATTAGGCTAATTGGTCTATAGTTGCCGATGTCATCTTTATTTTATGTAGGAGAATGATATGTGATTCATTCCATTGTTTCGGTATAGTGCCTGTTGTTATAATATCATTGAATAACTTGGTTAGGATTAGACTTATTTCTTCTTCGGTGGCTCTGATTAGCTCATTAGTTATATTGTCAGTTCCTGGAGCTTTTTCTAGCTTCTGTGACATGATGGCTTTCTGTCCTTCCTGCAAGAGTATTGATGGGACTTTTTTAAAACCCATATTAGGATCGTTATTGGCATTATTTTCTCGATCGGTGTCATTGTTCGAGTGAAGAGTTCGATAGTAGCAGTAGTAGTTCGATAGTGTTCGATAGTTCGATAGTAGCAAGGAAAATAAAATTACTACTACTGAAATAAAAACTATTGCCTACATAGTACAGCCACGCTCTAGCCATTTTATGGTTGTAGCAGAATGGATCGGCTCGACCTGGGTAAGATTCCATACTCTCACAGAATAACAGCAAAATAATGCTGTTTCCCACCGACTTCAAAAAGGAGACGTTACTCAATTCGACTGTATGTTTTTTTTTATGTGTGTTACCTCATAACTTTCTTCTGGGTGAACCGATTTCGGTGTTCTTTTTTTATTTGAAAGCTGGTGCTTCTCATGTGGTCCCATATAAATTAGATCAAGATCTGACCAGTAGCTTTTGAGTTATTCTTAATAATTTATATTTTAAATTATGTATGGTTATAGTGATCTCATGACCCTTTTTACTGGTGCAGAGGCATTCCATCTTAGTCCTTAGGGGTGACAATGCATCTACATTTCGATTTTTAATTTGTACAATGGATATAGGTGTCTAAAGGTCACAGTATCTACTTGCCATTATGGTGGGCTATGTGCTTTTTGCCATCCTTATTCTATATAATAAAAAAATAAGTTTCAAGTATCTGACATTATCAACGTGTTATGGTGATAGCAATATAAACAGTTTTGTCTTTCACCATGTATAGTGGAATGGCGGATTTGAACTCACTGACTTCTTAGGTTTGCAATCCATTAAACATCCATAACCCATATCCATTAAACAGCTTTTGCTATTTATACTGACATTTATGGTTTTTTTTTCATTCTGAATAATGAATTAATATTGTTGACAGCTGGATAGCTTTTGTAGCGGTGATAGTGTGTCTCATCGTCATGTCGTGTTGCGGCAATGTTCGTCGCCAGGCCCCCATGAACTTCGTCTTTCTCGGCATTTTCACCGTCGCTGAGAGTTTTCTGCTCGGTGTCACCAGCAGCATGTATGACAGCTCCGCGGTAAGGAATTTTCCACTTTACTAATTAACTGATAGTAGAGACTAAAGAGGCAATAGAGAATTGAAGGACTTTATCGTTTTTTTTTTTTTTAATATTTTTACCAATGTATAAGAACATACGGCTGACGAGAAGCACTGATGCTCCTAAACTGCAGTCTGTGGAAATGTTCAGAATCACTCCGCCATTACAGCAGATTTGATAGCTAACCAATCACCGTGAAAGAACACTAATTCCTACCAAGGAATCTTCTATATTTATTTAATTATTCTTCATCGTAATTGTCCATACAGACTATCAAAGTCCACCGCTGCACATAGGCTTCACCCTTAATTGCTTCATAGGAAATCCCCCATATGAGGCGGTTTTTTTCCATAGTTGCTACGCTTGGCAGACAGTTGACAACTGTAGTTTTTTATTATTATAAGTTGTGATGTCTTAATTATGTCTTAATCCTGGGCACAGACCTCATTTATGAGCGGGTTATAGAGCAATTCATTTATCAGAGAGATAGAAATATAAACTTTTTTATTCTATTTAGATTATAAATAATATTTATTTAAAATCAGTTATGTTTAATTTATCACTGCTTTGGAAAATACCTCTGTTTTGGGAAGAACCAGCAAGAAACCAAACAAAAACAAAAGAAATTTATTTTTGTTTGTTCGTATTTTACGCGCTGCCATACCCTTCAACAGATTGCGGTAAAACTACTTATTTCTTGCACTTGCACGAAGGTTATAGGCATAAGTAAAAATAACTTACAGTAGGTGGCGCGCGTATCGTACTGACAAATTTATTTGATAGTTGTACCTACATATATTATTCAATTTCAATGAATGTATTGTCATTCCTAATTAAACAATATAACTCTTACAAATTTAAAACGATATTTCCACAATTATTTCTTCTGCGTTAGCAAGGCGCCGGGTACCAGCTAGTATATCATATCATCAATATTCACCGTTTTAGACAGTATATGGTATTAGATTTAGAAAATGATGTTTGGCCGTCGAATTAATAAAGGTATTTTATTTCAGGTGATGATGGCAGTGGGAATAACGGCCGCCATTTGCCTGACCCTGACAATATTTGCGACGCAGACCAAGTACGATTTCACCGCGATGGGCGGGGCTTTGCTCTGCGCCACTGTTGTGCTGTTACTGTTTGGTGAGTATTGAAGATATTTTTTTTTCTTACTTTTTCGCTTTGGATTAGCTGTTCCTTTTTTTGCTGTGTACCATGAAATCTTGAGTTAGAGCCAAGAAAATAATTATTTTTATACTTATATTATAAAAATTTTTTTTGCAGGCATAATAGCGATGTTCATACCAGGCAATAAAATAGTGACCCTAGTGTACGCTTCTTTGGGTGCTCTGCTCTTCTCCCTGTACCTCATCTATGACACTCAGCTAATGTTGGGCGGCAAGCACAAGTACAGCATTTCGCCTGAGGAGTACGTGTTCGCAGCTTTGAACCTGTACCTCGACATTATCAACATCTTCATCTATATCCTGACCATTATTGGAGCAAGCCGGGACTAAGCTAGATCAGCTTGGGTATGTTTTCTTTTTTTATAATTAAATCTAATTAATTCACTATGTAATTAATATTATTATTTCTATTTTTTTGTCTAAAAGAAAAGAACACGTATAGTATACGTGGTAGAGCCACGCTGCAGCTATATTTTTTACTGGAACAACCCTTTTTACTGGAAACGAGGCATTCCATCTTAGTTCTCAGGTGTGACAACGCATCTGCATTTTGATTCCTAACCGAGGATAGATGTAGATTATGGGCCACAGCAACAAGTTGGATTTTAAACGCAGAAATTTTCATATGCACCAGATATTTAACTCATTCATTACAGCCCATAAAAAGTCCATTGCTGGATTGCCTCATAGATCAGATATTTGCCATAGTTGTCATGCTTGGCACAGGCGGGTTATCAACCGCAGTTATTTTTTATTGATATTGTGATTGTCAAGAAGATGCTGCTAACCATCACATTTTAGTTTCCATTGGGGTACTAAATTCTCTGACTCCGCCACTACCTATGTGATAACATCTTCATCTACATCCTGATTACTGTCAACTTTTATCACCAACTCAAAGACACTTATGTCGTCATTTTAATTTTCTTTCAGGTTTACTGCAGCTAAATGTAAAAAGCGAGACTGACTGTCCAAGAGCACTACGCCAATTTTAGTTTATTTTCTTTTCGTTATTCATCTACACTTATGGACAGTCTGTGGCAAAGATATAGGTGTTTTCGTGTATTTATTTTGTTAATTAAAGCTGCTGTAAATGGATAATATTTATACAAAAATGTTACATTTAATAAAAATAAACTAAGGATCTTATATCTTTGTGTTGTTAAAGACTAATTTTGTTAATATGCTTATCACATAATATATATTTACGAATAAAACCTCATTGTTGAATCATCCATCCAAAGTTTATTTACCTCTCATTTAATTTTTAAAGCCATCATTTATTTCTTTTTCACACATTTAAAGATAAATTTGAGAATTATTACCATGATGACACTGATTGTTAATAAGTAGAACATTTTTCGAAACTTTTTAACATTCCAAAGTCACCAGTGATAATTTTTTTACTTTTGTATGTACACACACACAGACAAACTTTTCATACAGAAATTTATACGGTGAGCTTGTACAAAGGCACTACTTACTCTAAATTATATTGAAATTATTAAATAATATCCCAATTCCAGTATTAAATTAAAAATTATTATTTTTTAATATATAAACTAATAACTTTTTATTACATTTTCTTGTATTTAATTAACATTAATAAGTAATTTCCTTAAATATTTTATTTAATAAAAAGTTATGAGTTTATTTAAAAAATAATTATTTTTTTATATTACCTTGTAAAAATTGGATAATTCGTGATTGTTTCCATTTTGCTCATATTCTAAATTGAAAACAAAAAAGTGGTACAACAGTATTTATTGACTGGGCATTCTAAGTTATAATAGCCTATCTAAAATAATTAAATGTAGGATAAATAATATGTAATATGATTAATATGAATTATCATGGTCCGCTGGGCAATAACTATGTGTTTTTTTCTTGAATAAATTCTGTGATAGATGGCCATCTAAATGTTGTTTTAATTAACACCTTTACACACCTAAATTAATAGAAAAAAAATATACCCATATATCTTAAATGATATTAACCGGTTCAGTGCGAGTGACACGCCAGGCGTGCCGTCGATACTTTTGTGTGTGGCGTATGACACGCGAGTCGTGTCTTTTTAAAAATCGTTATATCTCGCTCAAATTGCTTTTTTGGAAAATTTATCCAGAACAAAATATTCATTATTTTGCGAGTAGTTCATGCATGCAGCTTCGTTTCTGGATATTTTGAAAATTTGAAATTTTTAGGGGTTGACAACCTTTTTTTAACGTGTACATGGTACTATTTTTACTTGGTTGGTTTTAAATCATGTTATGGAAAAATTGTCTAATAAGTAACAAACAATAGCACTCATTGCGATCGCTCACAAACTCAAGTTGTAAATAAATTTCTGGAAAACAAGTCTCCTGTTAAAAAAAAAACAATGCGTTTGTCTTATTGTTTAATTTTGCTTAAAATGGTTAAACTGCCGTCTTATTACTATCATATGGCCGAATAGACCTACGAAGTACCATGTGCTCTTGTGATATGGTATAAGGTTTATTTTTGCTTCAAACAGTTCGAAACCGTTCATGCATAAAAAAAGTTCGCTAATAAATAGTCTTTTGTCAATCCGCCGGCGTTTTTTTCCTTTTGAAAACACTTGTTTTGCTATTCTTACTAATTAGACGTTTTCAAATCGACTTTACTTTTACATTTGTATAACATTAAATAATATTTAACATTTGTAAATATCAATGAATGATATACCTTATTTTTTTTTTTTCAAATTAAGGTTCTTCATTGTTTGATATTTACAAATGTTATTATTAGGTGAAAATTTAATTTAATAAAGACCAAGGTTTCCAGGGTGATTTAGCTGTACCTACTTATATAAATGATTTTTTTATAACAACAAAAAATAGTACAAAAGGTTTGTAATCTCTCCATAAAAAAGTCACATTCTCTCAATTTCAAAGAAAACGCGTAAAAAACACGTTACCCACTAAAAACAAGTATCCTTCCACTTGTAACTTATTTGTTAACTTATTGTCTGTGGCGCTTGACATACCCGGCGTGTCATGAAATATTTGTTCGCCGCCACAGCTAAAAGTTGTCGAAAATTGGTGCCGCAACGAATCGGTTAACATCATAGATCTTTCCAAGAAAGTTTCAGCTGACGAGGATTGTGAAGATTTGCTTATACCATGATGGGGAAGCGAGTTGTTCAGCTTAGAGCTGATTCCCTCGTAATTGGTATTACTCTCCTCGATTAAAAGTAGTATGTTCCATTTGATCACCGTTATTGCTGTACTCGATAACCAATTTTGCTGCACTCTATTACCAATTTTGCAGCACTCGATTACTTTTTTTTATTTTTATTTAGATTCCCGGGAAGGACCACGCTCTCGCAGGATACCAGCGTAAAATAGCAGCTTAGCGCTGCTGTGTTTCGTATGGTGAGTGTAGAGAATCTGAGACCCTTTTTACTGGAAAAGAGGCATTCCATCTTAGTCCTCAAGGGTGACAACGCATCTGCATTTTGATTTGCAAACGAGGATAGATGTAGATGTCTATGGGCCACAGCAACCACTTACCATCAGGTGGACTGTGTGCTCGTTTTTCACCCTATCCTATTAAAAAAAACTCCAGTATTGCTGCACTCAATCTCCAGTATTGCTGCACTTAATCTCCACTATTGCTGCACTTAATCTCCACTATTGCTGCACTTAATCTCCACTTGCTGCACTTAATCTCCACTATTGCTGCACTTAATCTCCACTATTGCTGCACTTAATCTCCACTATTGCTGCACTTAATCTCCACTATTGCTGCACTTAATCTCCACTTGCTGCACTTAATCTCCACTATTGCTGCACTTAATCTCCACTATTGCTGCACTTAATCTCCACTATTGCTGCACTTAATCTCCACTATTGCTGCACTTAATCTCCACTATTGCTGCACTTAATCTCCACTATTGCTGCACTTAATCTCCAGTATTGCTGTCATCAATAACTAGTATTGCTGTCAATGCCTGTCTGGAATTTAATTGAATTTAAAAGCAAAGCGCATTTGGCTGGCTTTCGATCATCATATGTTACTATGAGCCCTTTATTCTTAATTGGCAAGTTGCATTTAGTGCAAATATGTGTCATCTCAATACTGGATTTAGAGCGCTTCAATATTGCAGTGCACGAGTAACCCGATTTAACATTTTTTGTTTTAATTACTGCCTAATTTAATAATAGACCGCTACGTGGCGTAGTGGCTTAACATCGATTTGACCGCGTATTTGCCTAGACACTCTGGTGGCCTCTCATCTCAGGAGTACCTCGTTTAGAGCCGGGGTGAGGCAGCTGAATTGAGTAAGTGGCGCAAATGTTAGTCTCTGAGAGATGACTACATATTTGTGTCATTTGCTGTAGAGACTATCGGTCCGTGGGGTCCACGTGCGGTGAAGTTCCTAAAGGAACTCCGTCCGCGGCTGGCTGTTGCTACTGCTGATAAGAGGACTGGTTCTTTTCTTGCTCAAAGGCTAAGTATAGCCATTCAGCGGGGAAACGCAGCCAGCGTTCTTGGCACGATACAACGGGGAGTAGTACTGTATGATAATTAAGTTACTAGTTTTAGCTTTTTTTTATTATAGTTTTTAATATTTTATATGATAAAATATTGTATATAATATACAATATTTTATTATTTATATAATAAAATATTGTATATTATGTAATTAAAATATTTTTATTTCTTGAAATATAGCTATTATTATTATTAATATCTGTGGTTTGTTTAGTCTCAATAGAACCTTGGATATATATTAATGGGCTTTCTTAGCTTGCCTACAGACTTCTTGATTTTTTCCAAAGATAAGCTTATTGATGCGTCAATATTGCAGTTGTAAGCAATCATTCGCCACGAGTTATAGGATCAAGATAACGCACGCTACGCTATAAAAAGTTTTTTATTTATTATTCATTACAGCCTATCATACGAGTAGTTACTGCTGAACCACATAAATTATTGCATAGGTTACCATATATCGGGTTAATTGCCACGCTTGTAAATTGGTTCATAGGTGGGCAAGTTGCCATGCTTGGCAGGGGGTCGGCAGCCGCAGTTATTATTATTTGAAAGCTCAATAAGATGATGATGCTGCTCATCTGTATCAGTTTGTCGCCACTTGCGACACCCGCGGAATGGTATGGGGTAGAGGTTTCTCCTCCCGCCACTAAAAAGCGCACTAAATAATGTTTGATTATGGTATCACACTCGGAGCCAATAATATCCAAACCTGAAAATTGCCTGGACCTATTTTTCGTAAAATAACTAGATGAGCGACTGTTAGTAGTGCCAAATGAGACGAGACGTCTGTTACTTTGATCGTCAACCGCCTGTCAATTGGAACAACTAAGAAAAATCCTCCGAGAGAGAGAAAGAGAGAGATAGAGGCCCAGGTCCATCGGTGGACTTTAACGGGTTGATAAAGACAGCGAATAATGATTTCTTATATTTAGGCGAACATTACACATTAAATGAAACGAATTTTACGCATTTTAATCGCGTTTCATTTTAACTTTTTATTTCCCGACATTTCGGGGGAACTAAAGTGTTTGACATCGCGTCGTAGTTAGCCCGGCTACCTTCAGTTTTTGAATATTAATTTTTGTTTCGATCTATGCAGAACAAACTTACAGTATCTTGAAGTCTTGCAGCAGATGGTAGCAGCCATCCATATTCTCTATTGAAATTAGGATGTTTTTATTTTTAATTTCAATAGCCTCGCCAATCATCCTTATACTCGTATATTACTGAAATAGACAAAACTCAACCAGACGGAAGTCCTCGGCAGGGGAAACTAAACGGTCGAGGGTTAGGGAGAAAGGAAAAGAAATCTGCGGACGATGCAGGTGGTATCGATATATTTGAATAAGGCATCCGCAGAAGAACAAGAGTAACTGACATTCTCAAGATTATCCCAGCTACGGGAAGTCTGCAGTCCGTGATCATATTCAACATCATTTTCGTCATTACATTAGATTTAATATATCTACCATAAATCCTCGCAAAAGAACACCGATTCTTACCAAGGATGATTGGCGAGGCTATTGAAATTAAAAATAAAACCATCCTAATTACAATAGAGAAGATGGATGGGTGCTACCATCTACTGCAAGACTTCAAGATACTGTAAGCTTGTTCTGCATAGATCGAAACAAAAATTAATATTCAAAAACTGAAGGTAGAACTAATATGACATCGGGATGTCAAACACCTTAGTTCCCCCGAAACGTCGGGAATTAAAATCATTAAAATTAGTTTAATTTAATGTGTAATGTTCGCGTAAATATAAGAAATCATTATTCGCTGTCTTTATCGACCCGTTAAAATCCACCGATGGACCTGGGCCTCTCCCATTGAAGGGAGTATTTTTCTTAGTCGTTCTACTTGACAGCCGATTGACGATCAAATTATCAGACGTCTCGTCTCATTTGGCACTACTAACCGTCGCTAATCTAGTTATTTTACGAAAAATAGACCCAGGCGATTTTCAGGTTTGGATATTATTTCTCTGGTTTTACCAAAAAAAAAAACAGAGTGACCGACGTAGCCCAACGGATTAGTAAGCTGAAGTGGCAATGGGTCAGCCGTATAGCTCGAACAATCGACAACCGATGGGAAAGAAGGGTTCTCGAGTGGCAGCCTCGTACCGACAGGCGAAGTGTAGCGCGTCCCTCCACTAGATGGAGTGACGACCTGGTAAGATATGCAGGCAGTCGATGGATGCAGGTGGCTCAGGATCGTGCTTTGTGGCATTCCTGGGGAAGGCCTATGTTCAGCAGTGGACTTGTGAAGGGCCGTACTGACGATGATGATGGATATTATTGGCTCCGAGTGTGATACCATCACCAAACATTATTTTGTGCGCATTTGGGTGGCGGGAAGAGAAACCTCTACCCCATACTATTCCGCGGACGTCGCAAGTTGCGACAGGGTGAAACTGATACAGATGAGCAGCATCATCATCTTATTGAGCTTTCAAATAATAACAACTGCGACTGCCGACCCCCGACCCTAGCATGGCAACTTACCCGCCTATGAATCAATTTACAAGCGTGGCAACTAACCCGCTATATGGTAACCTGCAGTAATTTATGTGGTTCAGCAGTAAATTTAATAGGCTGTAATCAATAATAAAAAAAAAACTTTTATAGCGTAGCGTGCTTCATCTTGCTCCTTTCATTGAGCTCATGGTGAATGATTGCTTAAAACTGCAATATTGACGCATCAATAAGCTTATCTCTGGAAAAAATCAAGAAGTCTGTAGGCAAGCTAAGGAAGCCCATTAATATATATCCAAGGTTCTAATGAGACTAAACAAACCAATATTAAAAACTATAATAAAAAAAATAGTAATAACAATATAATATAATAATAACTTAATTATCATACAGTACCCCCCCCCCCCCCCCCCCCCCCGGTATCGTGCACGCTGGCTGCGTTTCCCCGCTGAATAGCTATACTTAGCATTTAAGCGAGAAAATAACCAGCCCTTTATCACCAACAGTAACGACCAGCTGCGGATGGAGTTCTTTTATGAACTTCACCGTAAGTGAACCCCACGGACCGATAGTCTCTACAGCAAATGGCACAAATATGTAGTCATCTCTCAGAGACTAATATTTGCGCTACTTACTCAGTTCAGCTGCCTCTGATGCCGCCCCGGCTCTAAACGAGGTACTCCTGAGATGAGAGCCCGCCAGTGTCTAGGCAAGTAGCATCCCACGCTAGGGCTTTACCTCTCTCCCAAGGGACCAATGTTATATCGTAGGGTCTCTTGCCATCATCTCTAAATATTACACAAGGCTCTAAAACCGAGGAAACATAAAGACAAGTGCCCTTCGGATGACATCGTTCAAAGAACCGTGCTGTGAAAACCTATCAGCACTTTTCTTACATGAAACTTGTCGACGCTGCTACCAAAGGGGTATTGATGTGGTTGACAAATCGCCGCTACTAGTCGGATTCCTTCGGCGATGCGCAATTTTTCAAATATAATTTTTTCAAACTATATTAATGAAATAGACAAAATTCAACCAGACGGAAGTCCTCAGCAAGGGAAACTAAACGGTCGAGGGTTAGAGAAAAGAAATCTGCGGTCGATGCAGGTGGTATCGATATATTTGAATAAGGCATCTGCAGAAGAACAAGAGTAGGTAACTGACATTTCATTTATATTTTTATACAGCTCGAGAAACTCACAACCGATGGGAAAAGTTCTCGAGTGATAGTGGTAACCCCTACTAGATGGCATGATGACCTGATAAAACGTGCTGCGAGTTGATGGACTGGCTGTGCTGGCTTTGATCAGTGCCTTGTAGGGAGGCCTACGAGATCAGAAGTTCTTAGTAGATTCTTGATATTTTGTGGAAAACAAACATAAGTACTGAATTATCATAAAAAAAATTAAAACTATAAAAACACCATTTAAGCGCTTTCGCATATTACTTTGAAACACCTTCTTGTTGTCTATACTCATAGGTACACATGGGCTGTGTAACGATGTGATGAAAGCGTAGTATATGGATAAAAGTTTTGCGAAACATTTAACTATACCTAGGTACATATTTCTAAATTATATATATATATATATATATATATATATATATATATATATATATATATATATATCCAGAGTCCAGCGAGGCATCAACATTGAAATTAATGATCGCGAGGAGTAAGTCTGTATAATAATTTTATTTATAGCTTTTTTCTTATTTTTTAATATACATAAATTTAGATTTTTTTAATTTGAAACTTCAGTAACTCGAAACTCTCTAGGTAAGTATTTTAAAGTGGGACGCATGACCTATTTACATACTTAATCAGATAATAAATAACATCATCGCAAATAAGTTATAACTATATTATGTTCATCATGTTCACTAAATACTAAATAAGAGTTTAAAACCCTTAACAACATGCTTTGATCTCGAGCTATGATGATCCTGATATATATTTTATTTTATCCTGGTAATAATGATCAGGATACTAGAATAAAGTTGCAAATTTTCTAGTCAATCGGCCGACTACAAGTTGGTAAATATTAATTATTTTACACGAAAAGCCTTACATAGCCTTACATACCTTTACATAGATAAATACCTAGAAGCAAAGCTAATAAAAGCGTGATAAAAAGGACATAGGTACAGTCGAATAGAAAAACCTTTCTTTTATTTGATTATACATTTAAGAAATTTTACTTTTCTGCAACCATTTACAATTACCCATTTATTCCTTTTAAATAAACAAATGACTTATTGCATCAATTACTCAGGCAAATTGAAAATCTAAGTATTATCATAGACTAATATATAATACTGGAGAAGTATTATCAGTTTCACCGTTAGATATACTGCTTGTATGTATCAGTATAAGAACGAACGCATATCGGCGATAACGTGTTCTAAACTGTGCAGCGCAACATGTCTCAGGTAAATTATTCTTTAAATTCATTTTGGATTATAATTTGTAATATACGAGCAAACGTACGAACTGCCTCAAGTAAATTACATAATTGTTCCGTAATGTCGTTCTCATACCGGTTTCTATTTGTATTGATAGCGTCAAGGCCCCTTTGCAATTGTTTAAAACATGCTTTAATACTTTACATGTTTTCTTTTACCGGCTTGAACCACTCGCCTGCTAAAATGAAACGTTTTTTAAAGCGTGTATTAAATTGTTTATTCTACGGCCTAGCATCTTCTTAGCAAGTTTATATTTATGTTGATCAAGCAGTTATTAATTATTCAAGACGATTATAAAATTGGCAAAATACAAGCTTGTTACAGCATATTGAATCTAATTGCAATATCGAAAAGTCTATCGTAACGTGTAAACGTTTGTAGAGATACAAGTATGAACCTAACCTAAGTTACGAATGTACCTCTTTAGGGACTAAGAGTTAAAGCAGAGGTTAGATTTTGGTAAATTCTGAAAGTTACAAGAACTCATTATGAACTATTATGAAAAGAACGAATTAATCATAATTTTAAAAAAAATCTTGAATATACTAAGTAATGAATTGGATTTTCTTATGAATTTATCTCTCATAAAGTGTTCATTTGATTTATAGTCAAAAAATCCCGAGTTTTATTGATAAAAAATTTGGTTTCTAACGTATGTAGCACTTTAATTTTCTTTAAAAAGATGTGCAATGTATCATTGAGTTATATGTACTACGTACTAGAGAAGCCATTCCAAACAAAAATTGTGTCCTACTCTATGTCTTCGCGCATGCGCGGGAGTAGTAGTCGCGCATACACGACGACTTTAATTTAATATAAAATAAGATATTAATATAAAATAAATATAAGAATTTAATATAAAATATCTTAATTTAATCTAAACAAACATATTTCTAAATAAAATGTAATAATAATTATTTTATGGAATTCACAAATCTTCAATTTACACAATATTTAGTTTGAATGGATTGCACTACAGTTCAGTTGAACATAGTCAATGTTCGGAATGGCTTCTCTAGTACGTAGTACATATAACTCAATGGCATGTATTAAAGAATGTTATGTTATCTATTGATAAAATGCATTTCCTAGAATAAATAAAACAAAACGACTATATTGATATTGGCTATGGGTTACGTAGTAATATTATTTAATCTGTGCTATTAGTAAACTTAAATGACTTGACTTTTTGGTGAGGACTTGACCGGCGGCGGATTGCTTCACTTAATGGTTTGAAGTGGATTTTGATATAATATGTGTCTCTCGTTAAAGTGCAACCCCGAAAGGTGGTAAAACTAGACCATAAATTGTTGACAAAATATAGAAAGAAATAAGATTATATATATATATATATTTATGGACGAATTGAGATTTTTATATCTTATGTACTTTAAAATATTATGCCACGTACTTGGCGGTAAGGATAAAATAACAATTAGCTCGCAACAAAGTGGCATTATGACTTTGACTTATATTGAAAATATTGTTTTTCAAATTAAAAAAAAAATACGTTACAACCCAAAAAACACTCTGGCTAAGAGGTGTTAACATTTCACCATTAAAAGTCAGATTTTTATTACAAGTTTTAATCGAGTCACAAGTAGGTACATAATGTTTTTACAGTTTTTATAAGTAATGCATTAAATGCTCATAATGGCTCCCTCGTTGCTGGAGGCACATTGCCGCACGAAGAGCAATTTGGTTTGTTGCTCTACGCATACGCATACGTTTCTAATCTTTCTTTGAATCCACCCAGACAACAAAACATCTTGGACGGTTGTCTATATTTTATGCAATTTCTGGACTCGTTGGTAATGATATAGATGCAATCCCTCCTTTTTCTAAATGCCGATACCGATGTCTTTGTTAAATCGTGACGCAAAGCCAAGCATCTAATGCTGGTTGTAGGATCAGCAAACAAATCGTTTAAAACTGCATCTTCTATTGAAATGTCAATAATTATAGCTTGTTGTTCCCGGTGATCTTGTGCTAATCCAAGTCCGATGTTGGATAACTTCCGGTGAACTTCTTGAAAATTTCGTGCTGACGGTATAAGTCTTCCCCGAAATGCGTTGATGTATGCAGAACGAGCGACTGTTGTGCGTCCACGTAACATTCCGTAATAATAATGGATGTCAGCGATTTCTCGCGGAGAGAACTTGGTCAATCGCGACATCTCAACAATTCATAACAAATGAGACTCAAAAAGTCAAAAACGTAACAAATAAGTCAATAACAGAAAAAAACCAAAATAACGTAACAAACACTCAACGCACAGGACAGTAGGAGTGGTAACAGGTAGCTGTAGTGAGAATATCGGAGTGACTGGGTATGGCAGTATGGCTAACTCGCTATCACACAGGTTATCCCTTTGTAAGTCGTATTTCGAACCACTGCCCTGTCCCCTCCTTCCTGCCCTTGCTACAACACACGAAAGGACACGTTCCGTCAAACCAATATTGTAACATTGATAAAAAGGGTGTCTACCTGAGTGGTGGCGTAGATTTTTTTTATTTGAAATATGGTAGAGAATAATAATAAATTATAAAATTTTCTGGTATTGGGGGCATAATTCTGAGGAAATTAGAGATCATTGAAAAAAAAGAAACCTATTGGTAAATCGAATTGTGCATGCCTTAAGCATATGAAAAAAATTACGTATAACATGATTATACATAAATTTTTATTGTTATTTTTTCCTTACCGCCAAGAACGTGGCATAATATTTATTTTATTTTAAAGTAATCGACCCACTACTTTGGAAGAAATCGTTATTTTTGTACATATAGTCTACATAAGATATAAAAATCTTAAATCTTCCATAAAAAGTAAAATATGTATTTTTTTTATTTTTTGTCGATAATTTATGGTTTAGTTTCATCCCCTTTCAGGGTTGCACTTGTTTCAGGGACGCACTGTATAAAAGTGGTGCGATTTTGTTTATTAACTTTCTGCGCATGTGAACTATTAGTAGAAACGACGAAACAAGTGCTCCGATGGTGATGTCAATCTCTAGATAAGGTGTCTGTCTGCTTAGGCGCCTTGAGATCTCCCAAAATCTACGCATTGTTACGCATCAACATATTGTGAAGCAGTGTATCACTTGATACTGAGATAAATTGCTTAAAGGACAAGCATTCAAGCCAAAAATCTTAATAAAATATTAAATGACTCTCAATACGTATTTTTTTTTATAGAATTAGGGTGACAAACGAGCAAACAATCCACCTGATGGTAAGTGGTGGCTGTGACCCATAGACATCTACATCTATATACGTTTGCGAATTAAAATGCAGATGCGTTGTCAGTCGTGAGGACTAAGATGAAATGCCTCTTTTCCAGTAATAAGGGTCTCCGGTTCTCTACACTCACCATACGAAACACAGCAGCTTTAGTGTAAAATATATTTGCCATTATGATCTTCAACTCCTTCACCAAACCGTATCATTTCGCTGATTCCGATTATGTCCCATTTGATGTTGTCTATAACTAGTTTGTTTCGTAAACACAGCAGCATTAAGCAATTAGCAATTTTACGCTGGTATTCTGCGAGAGCGTGGCCACTCCCCGGTCGAGCCGACCCATTCGTGCTACAACTATACTATACTATTAATATAGCTGCAGCATGGCTCTACCACGTAAAAAAATTCTTGTAATGTAGTCTTGTATGTATTCTTGTAATCTATTTTGTTCTATTCTATTTTATGGAAGTCTGTGTATAATATTATAATCTTGTTTTGCTGACTAGGATCCGAGAACCTTAGACTAGGTATGATAACACCCCCCCCCCCACTCCCTCTCCTCCGCCGAATCGGTTTCCGCTTTGTCGCTGGCTTTCCTAGTTACGGTCGCTTTGAATGCGTGATAATTTGTGTTAAACTGTACGCTCTAATTTCAGCCAGCAGGATATGTTGGGCCTCAGAGTTTCGGCGAGGATGGCCAGGTTCATGGATTTGACTTCACCGAACAGACCATACGAAGAGGATTTATACGAAAGGTGAGCTACCGTCAAGTATTTAGGCTCTACATTAAAAAACTAATATAATTTTATATAATATGATAGCATAGGGCGAGTTTCCATTCGCCGGCAGTGTTACCAACGCGAATTTTTCAAAATCCGTAAATTGGTATATAAATTTCCGTAGATGCTATTTCAAAATATCCGTAGATTTTTTATTTTTGTCATAGAATAGATGAATTTTTTGGAGAAATTCTTTCTGTCAAGTAAAATTTTTATTATGAGTTCAATTGTAAAATAACATCGAATCAAGCTGCACATATAAGAAAAAAGTACCATAAAAACTGATTAAAAATTAATTGTTTTCTTTTAATTAAATTAATATTAATAAAAACCGAATAAAATAATTAACACTTAAATATTTGTGGATAGTTATACTAAAATTTTTTCCGGTTCCGGTCTTAGTAACGTAAACATCACCTCTGTGTCATTTTAAAACGAATCTTGTTTAATAACAGTAAGAAGTCGTTATGGAACTTATGGTGATAAGTTCCATAACGACTTCTTACTTTACCGCCATTCAAGAAAAGAAAGAGTTAAAAAGTGCTAGAGTTTAGATCTTGTTTATCTTAAGAGATTGAATTCACATTCAACGAGCAAAAAGCGCTAGCAAAAAATGAGGTTAGCTCAAAGTGCTTTATGCAGAGGAATACGGCTATCATTTTGATATCCGTTAGGACTATTGCGAAGATGTCAGTGGAAGAAAATAATTTCTACCAAAAAACGTTCCGTTTCACTCAGTATAAATACACAATAAAATATTTTGGTAGAAATGGAAGAACAATTTCAGCTTTTACTTGACAAAATGAAAATAGAGCTTGCAAACAAAACAACGTCAATAACAGAGGCACAATAACAAACACGATCATTGAAAGAATATATGAAAAACTCGAGACCATTATAACAGAAAATAAAACGTAAAAACAAAAGTAGAAAAACTAGAAGAAAAGATAGAATATCTGAAAAGAGAAAAGAAAAATAACAACATTATTATATTTGGTTTGAAAGAGAGTGAAAAATCTACTACTCAAATACTAGATAAACTAAGGATGGCTTTTAAGGATGATCTAGGTATTAACATACAAGACTGCGAAGTAAACAAAGTATACGGACTTGGAAAAGTAAGCAAAGAGCATAAACCCAGGCCAATTTTTTTGTCCATCCTATGTGCATGGGAAAATTGAAATCATGAAAAATAAAAAATCATTTAAAGGACCTGTACGTGAAATAAGATTTTTCAAAAATACTTATGGAAAAAAGAAAAGAACTACACTTAAAATTGTAAGAAGAAAGGAAGAAGGGAAATATTGCGTATCTCAAATACAACAAAATCAATAAAAAAAAAACCTATCTAACAAGAAAACGAACGACGGAATTGTCATTGTCACCATAAACTAACACCCATCAAAAAGCATGCACGTCGTAAGTCAACAGGGTCAATACTGTTACGGCCCGCAGCTGCCCCTGCAGAGGTCTAATCTCCCGGGGCCTATGAGCGTAAGATTCAACGGGCAGCCGCGGGTTCGAGCCCGAATGGCTATATGGAATATGTTCTATCCTAGTACACTTTAAGGGAAAGGCTAGTCGAATAGAGAGTACTTACCTGTATCTGAGGCGACTGCTGTCTCAGGGCTCGGTCAGGCCGGAGGTGTGTATGTGTTGAGTGTAGTGGTGTTTTTGTGGTGTGGGTTGTGATAGACCTGACTGGACCGTTGAAGTCGGCAGCAGCCCGGACTTCGGCACCGCTCCAAATTGTGGCAATCTCCAGCGGCGCCACCCACAATCACTTTCTTTCTTCTTCACGATGTCAGTCTATTAACTTTATCGTACAATTAACTAACTTCCATACGCAACTAACTCCCGTTTATTATAAAGCGTAACACACAACACGAATACCGAATGTTCGGAACAAAGGTCACTTCCGTTTCGCTTGGTATCAATTATTTTTAGAACCTAACACGACCTTCTCTAGTGTCACGAAGTTTAGCGTTCAACCGACAACCGAAAATGTTTCCGAACTATATCAAATGCCGCACGAGCAAATTAATGTTGTCAAATGCACTTATATATGCTATCAAATTAGAATAACAAAATTCGCGGTAAATTAGGCACGCACAGCACACAATTAAGACGTTGATCGCAATCAATGTTAACTTCCTAACAATCTGTCTACCCGGCGTCTAATTCTAGACTACAATTCTTCGTCGTTGCACCATTTGCTAACAAACCGACTCTAAAAAATGGAGATAATCCCGAGCGACTTCATAACGTGCGATCGACCGCAATGCGTTCAAGCAACTGACTTTTGCGCTCGCGCTCTCTCGCCACAGCCACACCGCTCACCCGAATGTCAAAACCGGTATGGCACCGAGCCAATCGCCCTCCGGCGTCAAATCCCGAAACCAGCGTTTGGGCGTGAACAAATACCTTTGATTTAATGAGAGGTAGATCAAATTCTCTTTCTAATTATCCAACCAATAATAAACAATAGCAACTAATAAACGGAAACCGGAATCTAAGACTAAATACTATTAAAGAAAACGGAAAAACTGAAAAACACAATCCTCTCCCAAGCCAATCATCGTGGAGAAAAATGACCTCAACCCTCTAAGCGAAAAAAACGAACAACCAAGCAAATCAAATAGAACAATCTCGGACATATACTTAGCGACCCTGAACCCGCGATCACTACGATCACCTGAAAGACTGATGGAGCTGGAACTAGCTTTCAGTATATAAAAAGTACTCTGTGGAACTAGCTATAGACAACATCAAATGGGACATAATCGGAATCAGCGAAATGAGACGGTTTAGGTGAAGGAGTTGAATATCATAATGGCAAATATATTTTACACTAAAGCTGCTGCCTTGTGGTATAGAGAACCGGAGACCCTTTTTACTGGAAAAGAGGCATTCCATCTTAGTCCTCACGGGTGACAAAGCATCTGCATTTTGATTCGCAAACGTGGATAGATGTAGATGTCTATGGGCCACAGCAACCACTTACCATCAGGTGGTCTGTGTGCTCGTTTATTACCCTTATACTATAAAAAGAAAACACTACATTGGTGAGACACCGGGGTTATATGGTGTCCTAATCAAAAAATATCTAGCAAACAAAATAGAAGAAATTAGAGCAATCAATGAAAGAATATTTTAAGCATATTAACCAACTGAATCAGATATTAAAGATGACACTATAAAAACTGATAAATTTTACGAAGATCTACAATCAGCAGTACAAAGTTGATATAAAAATCTTATTGTGATGGGAGATTTTAATGGTCAAACAGTAGTCTGTAGCAAAGGAGAAAAATATACAATAGGAAAACAAATTATAAGAGCCATTAATACACACAAACTGGACAAAGCGCCAGGTTCAGATCAAATAACTAACGAGCTATTAAGATATACGATACCTGTACTTGCTCCTAGACTAACAGAACTATTTAACGACATCTTATTAACCGAATGTATTCCTAACGATTGGACAAAATAAACTATAGTATTGATACACAAAAAGGGGACAAAGGAGATATGAACAATTACAGACCAATAAGTCTAATGTCAAATAACGATATTCTCAAAGATAATACTATCACGAATTGCTGTCACGCTCGATGAAAATCAACAAGCTGGCTTTCGTAGTAACTTTTTCAACGATAGACGATATTCACGTATTAAGACAGGTGCTTCAAAAGTACTTAGGGTTCGTGGATTTTAACAAAGTCTTTGTATCCTTAGACCATGATAGCATCTGGAGAGCAATACAATGTCATGGAGTTGAGCCCAAATACATTTGAATACTCAACAACATCTACTCAAAGAGTGCGGCCCAAGTCAAGTTAGAAAGGACAGTAGAAGAATTTCCTATCAAAAGAGGTGTCAGACAAGGTGACCCTATTTTACCGAAGCTATTCTATGCGGTTCTAGAGATCTTTAGCAACCTGGAATGGGAAAGAAATGGTCTCAACATTAACGGTGAAAAACTTAACCATCTACGTTTTGCGGACGATATTATTCTGTTTTCTGAGAACCAAGATAATTTGGATGACATGCTACAACAATTATCAGATAAAAGCGCCAAGGTAGGCTTATCAATGAACACATCGAAAACGAAAGTAATGACAAACTTAATCAATAAAAACATTAAAGTAAATAGAGTGGATACATAGAGTATGTCCATGAGTACATATACTTGGGTCAACTAATATGTACAAAAGACACAATGCAAAAAGAAATAAAAGTATATAGAAGGATAGCAAACAATTGGAAACGGTTTTGGTCCCTGAGCGAGGTCATGAAGGACAAAGACATGCCTGTTAAGGAAAAAAGAAAAATATGTAACACGTGTATCCTTCCATGTCTTATCGTATGGATGTCAAACATGGGCACTAAGAGAGCAACAACTTAAAAAAGTTCAAGTATGTCAGAATGGAATCTAAAGAAGTATAATTGGAGAAAAAAGAAGAGACAAAATGAGCTTAAAATATAAAAAGCAAAACTAAGTTTAAAACTATACATACCGTTTACAAACGCCTGAAATGGAGATGGACAGGACCACTGACTAATATGATGCCTACGCATAACAGGACGCATGCTAAGGGAAGGAACAGAAAAGTGGACGAGGATAGTAACGGAATGGTAACCGCGCGACAGTAAAAGGAACAAAGGTAGACAAACTAAACGTTGGTAAGACGACATGAAATATATAGCTGGTCCATTATGGACACGCACTGCAAAAGGTAGGACAAAATGGACAAGCTGTAAAAGAAAAACCGGTGTCGAAACAATTAGTTAAAGGTTAAAATTATCGTACAGAATTAAGTAATATATAGTTTTACTAAAAATGTCGTACTATGCATGTTATCAGGTTACAGCAACAAAAGCTTGTTTCATTTATTTATGTATAATAAACAAATTACTTCGATTGTTAAAATTTTCGATTGTCCGTTGTCGGCTAAGTTCATATTCATGATAAAAATATTTTTTTGTTAAGTTTTTAAAAATCTAATCTTTTCTCAAAGGAGTGTGAAGTACAAAAAAAAATAATTAATATGGAAATTAAATTCCGTAGTTCCGTAGACGATGAAAACTTCCGTAGATCTACGGAAATATCTGGAGAGTTGGCAACACTGCCCGCCGGCGCCGGGACAGCAAGCTTTCCGCTCGGTGCCGGCCAGTAAAACTGCATGTGTATTGTGTATGTATTGTAGCCGTGTGCATGAGCGTGTGCGCGGGAGAAGTCCATTTTCAACTTTTGAAATAGGGAGAAAACGAGCATGCGGCTCATTTCTGATGGTAAGTGACTATCACCGCCCATGAGCAACTGCAACACCAGGGAATTACAGGTGTGTTGCCGGCCTTATTTAAGTATATGTATTAATTTTTAGGACTGGATGAATTCAAAATTCGACTTCTCTACGTTGATTATATTTTCGTTTTAAACGAAAGAGATATAACAAATAAATACGACGACTTGACGAGACCATTTTTACATATTGTAGAACTGAAGTCTGTGTTAGTACTACCCAAAAACCGAGCTTAGATCTGCACCGGCACCAACCCAGTGAAAAAACAGAAAAAAATCGCCATTATTAAGTTAAATATTTACTCATGAAATTATTTATTATTATTGACTTTGAGTTTTCATATTACGGCAAGTAGTGAAGGACCAAGTCTTAGATCCATTAATCATTTTCAAAATGATAATAGGTATCCGTAGAAGAACCAGAGTAATTGACATGGCCCTGGATCAGTGGCAATTGGCCGACCATATGGTCGAAGCTTGAAGAACCGAAAATCAATGGAAAATCAATTGAGAAGAAATGTACTGCAGTGGCAGCCTCGTGTCGATAAGTGAATCGTATGGCGGCTCCCCACTAGAAAAAGTGATTATCTGGTCAGAGTAGCAGAAAGTAGATGGATGCAGGTGGCTCGGGAGCGTTTGGTGGGGCGTGTGGCGGAGCATGCGGCGGGGCGACGTGACAAACACTCGCTTTTGTTTTAGAGTCCTGAATGTCAACAGTCGTTGTAGAGGAAACACGCCACAAGCTAGGCATGTCGATTCACGGTTAAAAAAAAAATCGATCTCCGAATCGATTCAAATCGAACATACTTGAATAGATTGTCGATTAAATCGAGCATTAAAAGATCGATTTTCGATTAATCGCGACATTTTCAAACATTAAATTTCCAGAACTTGCGATTTTTTTCTTAAATTGAACTTTTATAATTACATTTTATGTTTTATAATTATACATTTGTTGCAGTTCATTATAACTACAGTATATAAATTGTCAGGCGCTAATGAAATATGTAAATAAGGATTTGAACAGCTGAAATAAACTTCCGTTGAGTTTGGATAAAACAATTAAATTGTGTTCACCAATATTTAAGAGGAGGTTCTTCTGTTTTGGAGCTAAAAGATTCTAACACTATAAGATAACCAACACGTGTTCTTTACTGGTTTAGGTATAAACAAATAGGCTGAATCCATTACGTGAAAAATAGCTCTTCATGTTGTGTCAATGCGTTGGTCTTCTACATCAGTCTTGTACTAGATTGTAGGATTGTTTTCTGCTTATTAGTACGTCAGGGTAGGTACGATTCTTTTACCAATTTCCTGTGTCCTGGTCTAATTAGAGAACCAGTATAATTACATTTTGCATGCCTTAATTGGCGAATCATAAAAACTATAACCAGTCAATTTAGTTTTAAATTTGGTATGATGATTTTTTCCTAATTTCGATAGGCCATAAGTTTGATTAGATAAAACATAGTCATTTATTTTATTGATATCTGTAATGACGACATAAGTAAATACTTACTAATGCTATTAATATTTTTTCGCTATTATACTTTCATTTACTCTCTAGGTGGTGCGTACAGATGCTAGAAGGCATGAATTTATGTAATAATGGGTTGGCTTATTAAGATAATTTTATTCAATACTAGCTGGTATCCAGCGCGTTGCTGCTGCAGAAGAAATTATTGTGGAATTATAGTTTTAAATTTCGCAGTTATTTTGTTTAATTAGGAGAGATGACGTATAAGTTTCAAATAAATTTATCAGTAGGAGTAACGCGCCACCTACTGTAAGTTAATTGCACTATGCCTTTAACTTTCGCGCAAGTGCAAGCAATAATTTAACTAAGTTTAAAGAAAGAAGTAATTAATAAGACTAAGTACGACCGGTTGTTTTTGCGTCCGCCAACAGCAAAAAATTAAAAAACTAAGACAACGCAGCCAGTTTAGGAACTTTATCGCTAGTTCTTGAATCAGATGAATCGGTCTGATTCGAGAGGTTTTGAATGGATTCATCGAATCGATGTGGAGTTCCAAATCGATCTGAAAAATCGATTATTGTACTCAATATAATCGATTTTTCGATTAATAGATTTTAGATCGACATATCAGTGTGGAGCGTTCGTTAGAGTGGGCCGTTTTTTAATATTTTTTATACAAGGGAGGGTGACAAATGAACACACAGTCCAACTGATGGCGAGTGAATACTATGTCCCATATACATTAAGTTTCCAAATACATTGCCATTGAGAAAAAAAATCAGAGGAATGGTATGGGAACGCATAGAAGACAAACAAACCAAAAAACGTCAGTCTTTTTTTTGTTACAGGTGTACTCAATTCTAATGTGTCAACTGTTGATCAGTACGGGCTTCATTGCTCTATTTCTATTCCACGAACCAACGAAGCGATGGGTGGCACAGAATAATTATTTATTGTAAGTAAAACTTTTTTTGTTTGATGAGAAGCGGACTCTGTGGCCCACATATTTGGTATAGTACCATTCATACGTGGTAGAGCCATGCTGCAGCTATATTAGTAGTATAGATGTAGCATGAATGGGTCGGCTCGACCGGGGTAGGACCACACTCCACGCTCACAGAATACCAGCGTAAAATAGCAGCTTAACTCTGCTGTGTTTCGTATGGTGATTGTAGAGAACCGGAGACCCTTTTTACTGGCAAAGAGGCATTCCATCTTAGTCCTCACGGGTGACAACGCATCTGCATCTTGAGTCTTTATTGAGGATAGATGTAGATGTCTATGGGTCGCAGTGGCCACTTACCATCAGGTGGACTGTGTGCTCGTTTGTCACCCTGTCCAATAAAAAAAAATACAAGATAAAATTATTAAACTTAATTTAAAAAAAATTATAGGAATGCTAGTACCTCTAGCTTTCTTTTTCTGCCTAGCCGGTTGTCCTGGTTGATAGTTCTCTAACTTATTCTGCAGTCAACGAAAAGTGTAACCAATACAGCAGTATTCCGACAAGGTGTAAGATTGCCAGGAAAATTAAAGGTGTTTGACATTTAACCTTATTCGTCATGGGTGACAATGAAGCTGGAGTCGTCTTTCTGGAAGTTGGCTTGACCATTACTATCGGAAGAATCATTTACTTTTGTTACTCCAAAGTTATGAATCCAATATTATGTTAAGATGTTGATGTAAAAGACGAAGCCTTTCGGAAACTTGATAAAAACTTTCAAATAAATTGTGTTTATTTCCCAAAGTTCAACCTTCAATGTAAATATAAAGTTCTAAAGTAGAAAGTTTTTCATAAAATACTTTCTTTGTGAAAAATAACTCAGACGGCATATTTTATTTTAAAACTTTTTTCTGGAAGTCAAGGACACAGTCCACTGTTAGGTAGATTGTAAGCGAATTCTGTGGCTAATGGACACCTACATCTCGGAGCCCCAGGTTATAATAATGTGGTGGTCACCATCAAAATAGTAGCCCTATATTGTTTTGCTATTTCTGTATTATGGCTGCAGCACGGATAGGCCGGGGAAGAAAAACTCTTGCATAGAATATCAGGGTGAAATATCAGCATAACCAGACTTCGCGTAAATATAAAGCCGCGTATCGATTACGGGCTCCTGGCGCGCGCGCCACGAATGACCGCGCCGATCAGTGGGTTCAGCGGAACGCGCTCCAAATGTTCGAAGTGTATCAACTAAGCGCAACTGACGCGCACGTCAGCCTTTCCAGTGTTTGACCGTTCAACATTATGTCAATGTGAATGTCAGTTGTCGGTCGTGTACGAGCAGCTGCTTCTTTCATAGTTCCATACATTTTCTCTGAGCGCTTTATTATGGTAAAAACTACTTTGGCTATTCCACATTTAAACTGTATAATTTTATTAATTTACGGCAAATTTGTTTATCCATAGCTCGGAATGCAACGAACAGAATGAAAACAATCGTACAAACTGGCGCGCGCGCCAATGTTCGACCTCTTGGAGCGCATAATCGATACGCGGCTTAAGAAATCATTAAGTAGGTAGCGGTTTTTAGTGCAGCTCAAGTTTTGTATCAACGCCATATGTATATAAAAATCTTACCTATTATTTTCTTTTTTACAGCTGGGTAGCGTTTGTGATTATGTTCGTGTGCCTGATTGCGATGTCCTGCTGTCCGGACGTACGGCGGAAAGCGCCCACAAATTTTATATTTCTGCTCATTTTTACGTTGGCGATGAGCTTCCTGCTTGGAATAAGCACAAGCGTCTATGATGTCTCAGAGGTGAGGTGAAAAGTCTCAAACAGATAACTTAGTGAGCGGAGTATACCTACATTAATTATAATTTATATTTCTTAATTAATAACGGATCTAAGGGTCCTATAATAATGTATACAGGCTGATACTAGGGCTGCCTCGCTTTTGCAGTGTATCCACAATGTTTGCGAATGCGTACACTGATTGTTTTTTATATACGGCGGCCTCAATGGAGACTAGCCTTCTGCGTAGGATAGGATTATAGTGCTGAAGTGTATGTGCAAGGATATGTGCACTGTCTGTTCCCTCACTCTTATAGTCCAATGGGACGTTAATACAACACGAAGGGAGAGAGATCAGGCGCAGGACCAACGGCTTTACGTGCTTTCCGAGGCACGGGGTGTGAGACACCGCCAAGTTTCTGACTGCGGGTTGTTACTGAGAATTTCTTTATTGAAAAACCCAATAACCGAGTTTTTGGCTCGACTGAACGAAACCTTATAAATAAGTAACAAGTCAAGTTTTTTATACAATCATCAGGAAGTGGTGCGCTTCCCAACTGAATCGCTTTCGATCTAGCAGCAACGCCAGAACGTTTTTGCTAGAACAGGTGGGACTCACCGATGCTGTGTCGCTGGATACGTCTGCATAGCACAAAAGCGTTGCGATGTATTTCATGCGCCACGAAATCGGTTACCCATCTCCAATTTTCCAAATCTTTGTGTTTTTGGTGTTCACTTGTTGTTTTTATTAACTTAAGATAAGTTTTAGTCAATTGTTAGATACTAATAAAGCTGTTCTGAAATAAATTCATTCATTCAATCATAACTTTCCATCTGGTGGTGTTTTAATTTGGGCCATATCTCCTAAGGATTTTAACCCTACTGAGAAAACATTCTTTTTGTTTTTCTACTAGGAAAAGTCTACTGCTGGACATGTAAACTCATATAGTTATTCTATTTCACGATGAAGTTTTGACTTTGATTGTTGTGAGCCGTGCACATACACATTGTGTTAGTGTGCGTAGGCTGCGGGCGCTCGGGAGTAGCGCTCCCGAGGCCTACGCAACTACATGGCTGTAACTGTATGTGCACGACTAAAGGCGGCTCTTCACGTCGGTCAACATACTGGCGAATGAGTTGGCCATAACGATGGCCATCGTGTAGAGCGGGTGTTTATGCTTACGTTGGTGTGTCTTGGAATGATGATCCACAAGTTGGCGCGAGATCCGTGTGGTGTCGGTTTTTTACAAAAGATCAAAGGGTTGTGGCAGAGTATTGGCCGCCGCGTCCACACGTAAGGCGCACGTTCAGTTTGTTACGACTACGAGCACCCAGAGTGATCGCACGCACCTGATCTAAATTTTATATGCACGCATCGTAACTAGTGTCTACATAATGGCAGTAACAATGACCAATGAAAAAATTTTTCGCTTTATAGAGCCCTACCAAGCCGAAAATTGTTTGTGAAACACAAGTCTTTTTTTCAAAAAAACGTTACCTCCACACTAGGATTTACTCCTGTATCGTGGAGGCAGTTTATAAACATAAATTGCTTAAGGACAAACATCCAGACCCGGAGAAATTATTTGCACGCCATACAAATACTTGTTCGGTGCGGGATTCGAACCCGCTGCCCCCAGCGCAGCAACTCATTGCTAAGCCACTACGCCACGGAGTCGTCAAGAAATAAAATTTAATTTTTTCCATTTCTTTTTGATTACCCTTTTTTTATACACATTCGCGTTGTAGTGGTATGCTGTGAATAAATAAACCGCAGCAGCCGTTAGCGCCTCAATATCCATTTTAATAAACTCGTCCGCACATTGGCCTGAACCGAAGCAAACTGAACGACCTTTCAACGTGTGGAAGCGATTACAAATTTTTGGCCAATATCTTTGCCAACACATTCGCCACTATGTTGGCCAAGGTGAAGAGCCGCCATAAGAATATCCAAAGTCAAAACTTCATAGTGAAATTGATTGACGGTCGCAGTACGTGACATTACGAACCTTTGACTCTGCTGCCCATCGCCGGTCTGGGTATTTCGTCTGGCGCAAACGAGATGGTATACCGCCATCTAGCGGAAGCCCTAAGATTTATCTCGCGCAATTAATCGCCCTGACAAGCGTGCCGATTAAGGCAAATTCTTAATACAACGGGAGAGGCTCATATACAGCATATGGACTTATATTGGCTGAAGAAGATGGTGTCTACGGGCTACATTTCCCACTTTTTGCATGGTCTTAAGAGCTGCTTCAGATTATGTATTGTTAACAGGTGATGATGGCGGTTGGCATAACTGCGGGAGTCTGTCTTGCGCTGACTCTGTTCGCCTTCCAGACTAAATGGGACTTCACTATGCTGGGTGGAGCGCTGGTCGCTGCCAGCATGGTGCTGCTCTTGTTTGGTAAATATATCCTTTGTATAGGTAACTAATGAAAACCATACCATAAACATAAAGCCAGAAATGAGAAGAGGCCTGTGTCCACGAGTGAGACGCATATAGACTTTAACTTTACTTAATGCCGCTGAAGGGGATCAATTCTAAATAATTTACAAGTTAATTAAGTTACAAGGTCGTCACACCATACGGGACCGCCCTACACTTTGCTTACTGGTACGAAACAGCTGCTGGAGGACCTTTCTTTCCCATCGGTTGCCGCTTCAGTTTATTGATAGGCTGGGCTATGATTGGTTAGCCTGTGGCCGTAGAAAGGAAAAGGGGAGATGTCCCGCCGGGCAAGGTCTTCTGCCTGGGGAGCGGCCAAGGTTCTAAGTGGTAGTTCGGAGCTATTCTACATATTATATACTGCTTTACTTCGGAACTTTGATAGCGTGATTTAGGCTTCGATGTGCGACGACAGCGCTGTCACAAACCTGGTTCTTTTGCGGATATCCTCATTACGAAGTCTATCACGCAGAGAAAGCCCATTCATATCTATATGTCATCACTGGCAACAGGCACTGGTTGTGTATTTTATAACTATTGTTTATTTGTATGTATTTATTGAGTATTTAAATCAATATTTTCAGGTATCATTACTATATTCATCCCGAGGAATAACATAGTGAACCTGGTTTACGCATCAGCTGGTGCCCTATTGTTCTCTCTTTACCTGGTCTACGATACACAGCTGATGATGGGTGGCAAGCACAAGTATAGCATTTCTCCAGAAGAATATATTTTCGCTGCTCTAAACCTCTATTTAGATATCATCAACATATTCATCTTTATTCTGTCAATTATTGGCAGCTCGAAAAATTGAATTGTCACTTTGTAAAGTAATGGTTGTATCTTTTGTAACTTTAAGAATAGAATGTATCACATCATATAATGGGAACAAAAGCGGGTCTAAATAAATAATTTTCGTTCTAAGAATTAAAAAATATACTTATAAACTTTTCAACATCTTGTCATTTTAAATAGAGCCATGGTAGCTCCGAGGCTAAACGCCTCCTGTAAATTTAACAGTACGCGAGCAATTCATGTTACATTTCCGTCGGCTATTATTAACTAGCTGTGCCCCACGATTTCACCCGCGTTTATCACGCGTCTGAGCCGCGCGACATGATAAGTTTTCATTACCTCATAAACTATGCGTCCAAATAACATACTATAAATAGTTAAACTTTATCTTCATAAAATTGTCTTGATTATGAAGTAACTTTTGTTCGTAAGGATTAATATGCCATGCCTAATAATAACGCTCATATATAACCATTTAATTTTCAATAATTTTGGCGTAAAATACCTTATTGTGCCTTTGTTCTTACAAGAAATAGGCATCTTATGGAATCGCGGACTTTTTTTAGATGGAGAAAAGATCAATATATTTGAAGAACATTATGTTTACGTTACGTATCCACCATTACGCCAGCGCATGCGGATAAAGTAATTCAGGAGCGCTTCTTCTTCCGTAAGGGTAGCTGAGAGGTGAAGCCTGTGCGCATCTGCTGGGTGTATAAAGGCAGGAACTGTAACTTTACAATTTTTATTTTTTATTTTCGTGTATAGTGTATTTTTCTATTAAAGACCACGGTTAACGATAGAGATTACATTTATACTTCATACCGTTGCTGTTATAGCCTATCGTAAGACAAATGAACATAGGCTTCGCCCATACATTGCCTTATAGACATTATAGAAGAGATATTCACCATATTATGCCACGCTTGGGAGGCGGGATGGAAACAGCAGTTTTTTTTGTTTGTGTCTCCCTCTGTCGCCTTTTACGACACTCCCGGGATGATATGGTTTATTGGATTCTTACACCGCCACTACACGGTTTTTGTTCATACCCGTATATACAACGTTTGAAAATAAAGACAATTACTATTTAAAAGTGGTGTGACATTCCTTTTATAATCATCATTTCGTATATAATATAAATCCATAAATTATCTCGTATAATGTCATCATACGTGGATTATTATAAGTATGTATGTTATAATTAATATTTTAAGGAATGTGGTTTTAATTAAATGCTATATTTTACGATATATATATTGTAACGTATAGTTACTGAATTACCTGTTTATTGCGTTTATTCTAAGTACATCAAAATATCTTAGATACAAGTTTCAATTCTTCATAAATTATTTTAAATTGAAATTAAATTCATAATTTAATTGTAAGTTATTCAAGAAATAAAATATAAAATGTAACTTAGTAAATGGCGTTATAAATGCCATTGAACTGCAGTCCCTTATATTATCTGTTCTGTCTCAACAAGCGATTGGATAGCAAATAGCAATTGTTATTTTATATATATGGTATTTTGCCGAGGTTTGATGTATTTATTGTAAAGTCATATTTAACATAATATGTACTGGCACTGTTAAATGTAAGATGTAAGATGATGATGATGTAAGATGAACTAAATGTGCATTTATTATACCTGTAATTGTGATAAAAAAAATAAAGAATAGTGATGAATTTTATTTTATTTTAAAACATTTGTTTTTCTGACTGAACTTCTATAAAGCTATTAATTTTAATAAAGCTAAACTTATTGTATGTAATAGGTTCCTGGTATCTGTCTACTCTGCGACATTATGTGTGCTAAATCATTGGGCGCCAGTCTCATTATTTGACAAATTAATATCTAAGTATTTATTATTATTATTTTTTATTTTTTTATTTATCTAGACTAATTATGGAAATTAATTATTTTTATATAAAAAAATTAAGGATTGTTTTATAATGTAAAATAAAATATAATTTATAACTGCAATTTTTTTTTATAGGATTAGGGTGACAAACGAGCACACAGTCCACCTGATGGTAAGTGGTTACTGTGGCCCATAGACATCTACATCTATGCTCCATTACGAATTAAAATGCAGGTGCGTTGTCACCCGTGAGGACTAAGATGGAATGCCTCGTTTCCAGTAAAAAGGATAAAAATTGTTATCACTTGATCTTAATGAAACTCCATCTTAATTTTTTATGTTTTGGATTGACATATCTACTTGTTTCACTTATATTTTAATTTGTAAACTATAAAAATCTACTGGTTTCGCCTAACAGTAACACCACTTTGATACATTACACTGATGATATCATATAAGGTACGTGAGGGTAATATGGTCACCTTAAGCTTTGCCGCCTTATAAAACTAAGAGGAGGACAGAGACAAATAAACAATGTCGTATGATATAACTAATAAAGAAAAAAATGACAAACAAGCCTTGGCAATAATTAGCAACACTTCGAAAAATCAACTTAAAAAACTAACTATAGTAGTACTAAGTATAGTAGTAGTACGTGAGGGTAATATGGTCATCCGGTTAATATGGTCACTTTCTTATAACTCAAAAACTACAGCGTCGTTTGCATAGAACGCTCTGTGATACGATAGCTCTTGATCAGTCTATCAAATAATAAAGGGTCAAAAAGGCGCTCCTGTATCGACGCCAATTTGACAATTGATATTATTGTAAAAAATTTAGTAGATTTTTGTATTGTTTAGTGTAGTTAGTTTTTTTAAGTAGATTTTTCATAGTGTTCCTAATTATTTCCCAAGCTTGTTTCCTATTTTTTTTCTAAATTTATTAGTTATAGTATACGACTTTGTGTTTTTGTCGCTGTTCTCCTCCTAATTTTGGTTTTATAGGGCGATAAAGCTTAAGGTGACCAACACTCACTTACTATAATATCAACTGTCAAAATGGCGTCGAAAAAGCGGCGGCCTTTTGACCCTTTATTATTTGAATGACTGATGAAGAGCTATTGTATCACAAAGCCATCTATGCAAATTAGACTGTGGTTTTTGAGTTATAAGAAAGTGACCATATTAACCGGATGACCATATTACCCTCACGTACTTTATGATGTTACTTTGATGAAACAAGTGCATGTGTCAATTCAAATTACAAAAAATGAAATAAAAATATTTTATTATTTTGAGCAAAATAGACAGAACATTATCGAAACTGCTCAACTAAGTTATTGTAAGAGACCACGCACACGCATTCACGCACACATAATGCATCTAAAGACATTTGCAACTTGCAACCAACATGGTTTTCAGGTGAGTGTGTTATGTCATTGATGTATAATGTATTTTTTTTTTAGAAAAAGGGTGACGAGCGAGCACACAGCCCACATTGTTGGTAAGTGGGTGCTGTAGCCTGTAGACTTATATATCATCTACGCTTAATTAAGAATCAAGATGCAGATACGTTGTCATCCCTGAGGATTAAGATGGAATGCCTCGTATCCTGTATAGTCTCCGATTCTCTACACTCACCATACGAAACACAGTAACATTGAGCTGCTATTTTAGGCTGATATTCTGTGAGAGCGTGGTCCTTCCCTGGTCGAGCCGACGTGCTACAACCATAATATAGCTGCAGCATGACTCTACCACGTATAACGTACTATCATAGTACATATTACTTCAATCACTTTTACAAGAAGTTGAACCTACGTAAAGTTCTATCTTTCTTTGTTGATCGGAGTTTGCAGCAAATTAAGATGCAATACCGATACTGTTAATTCATATAATACGTGAGGGCAATATGGTGCTATGGTCATGTGGTTAAAATGGCCACCTTCTTATTACTCAAAAACGGCTGCCTTGTTTGCAGCAAAAGGGCGCCGCTACAGCTATATTATTTTAACTACAGGCCTGTCGCCATCACCTCCTTGTTCTCCAAAATAATAGAATCCATTATTAACTGCCAGCTCATGCGGTACCTTGAGGATCACCAGCTGATTAGTGACCGCCAATACGGTTTTTGTCGGGGTCGATCAGCTGGTGATCTTCTGGTCTACCTGACTCATAGATGGGCGGCGGCAGTAGAGTCCAAGGGGGAGGCGTTGGCCGTTAGTTTGGACATTGCGAAATTCTTCGATCGGGTTTGGCACAAAGCGCTTCTTTCGAAGCTCCCTTCCTATGGGCTTCACAAGAAATTGTGCAATTGCATCATCAGCTTCCTTGCAGATCGGAGCGTCAAGGTCGTTGTAGACGGTACATGCTCTGACTACAAGCCTATTAACACTATTGTTCCACAAGGCTGTATGCTATCACCAACACTGTTTCTTCTGCATATCAATGATATGTTGCTAACTGGTAAGATTCATTGCTATGCGGATGACAGCACTCGTGATGTTCTGTTTCAAGGCACTTCCCTTCTTGCCTCAGCCAGTGTCGGAATCCTCGGAGTCGACATATCGAGTGACGTGCAGTTTCGTGGTCACTTGGAAGAGAAGGCCAAATTGGCCTCTAAACAGCTTGGCGTGCTCAGCAGAGCGGGACAGTATTTCATGCCAGCACACCGCCTGCAACTTTACAAGGCGCAGGTTCGGCCTCACATGGAATACTGTTCCCATCTCTGGGCAGGGGCTCCCAAGTGCCGGCCCCTTCCACTTGACCGCATCCAGCGCAGAGCAGCTCAAATCGTCGATGACCGAGTCCTTTCCGATCGGCTCGATTCATTGGCACTGCGAAGAGATGTTGCATCCCTTTGCATTTTCTTTCGCATTTACCACGGGGTGTGCTCTGAGGAATTGTTCGGATTAATCCCAGCCGCCAAATTTCACGAACGCACATCGCGGCAGAACTCCCAATACCATCCACACCATCTGGATGATTGGCAGTCCACTACTGTGCGATTTAGAAGATGTTTTCTTGCTCGCACGACTTCCTTGTGGAATCGTTTACCTTCAGCGATTTTTCCGGACCGATACAACTTAGGGACCTTCAAGAAAAGAGCCTACTCCTTTTTAAGAGGCCGGCAACGCATCTGCAATTCCCCTGGTTCCTCTGGTGTTGCAGTTGTTCATGGGCGACGGTGGTCACTCACCATCAGGTGAGCCGCATGCTCGTTTGCCCCCTCTCCTATAAAAAAATATATTATGGTTGTAGCACGAATGGGTCGGCTCAACCGGGGAAGGACCACACTCTCACAGAATACCTGCGTAAAATAGCATCGTATGGTGAGTGTAGAGAACCGGAGACCCTTTTTACTGGAAATGAGGCATTCCATCTTAGTCATCAAGGGTGACAACGCATCTCCATTTTGATTCGTAATCGAGGATAGATGTAGATGTCTATGGGCCACACTACCATCAGGTGTACTGTGTGCTCGTTTGTCACCCTTATCCTATAAAAAAAAAGTTTACATTGTATTAAAGACAAACTTACTAGAAACACTCAGTTGGTAGTAAGTATTTTCATAGTTTTTTTAATAGATTGTTCGTAGTATTCCCAATTATTGCCAAAGTTTATTTGCCATATTTTTGCATGCCTTAAGCGAAGCAAGGTATGTTCTACTATCGCCTAAAAATTAAGATTCCAACGTTTTATCGAATGAAATCGTATCTAGCAATCATATTATACATATAAATGATATAAAAAGCACATTGTTAGAAAGATAAATGATTGTTGAACTTATTAATATATTTTTTTAATTGATTAATTGCTATTTTTAAATAAAAAAGAGGTTTTAGTGGCTTATGGTGTGGATTTATGAAGGCCCCCCAAGGCTTGTAAACACGATAACTTTTGAAAATATCAATTGTTTAACTCAATCTAGTTTTTAATCTCTTCATCTATCATGTGGGAAGCCACTGAATGTAAATGGCAGTTTAATTTTGTTTTGTTTAGCTATAATTAATTTTTTTCGACTCCAAAATGGCGAAATTTTCGTTGATTTGGTAGCCTTGTATGTAGATTATTTCTGTAAATAGGCGGAAGCCGCCGCTTGAGGCATGCCCAATTGGATTATCAATTTTTGAAAACTACTTGCGAAGTTTTATGGAACAATGAAACTAAGGCCAAGTTGGAGTTAGCCAAATGACATTCTCGATAGTTAATTCTGTAGATAACTATAAAAATAAATGAGAATTATCTTTATCTGAAATTCCAGTCACGTGACAGTCGCTGACTTAGCGTCGATTTAATTCTTTTATTTTTTAATATATTAGCTGTTATAGTATACAATTTTGAGTTTTTTTAGTCTGTCCTCCTCTTAGTTTCGCTTTTATAGGGCGGTAAAGCTTAAAGTGACCATATTATCCTCACGTACCTTATTATTATTACGAATAAAATAAACTAGTTCCCATAGCTCTTGTTAATGACTTCATTTTAGTTTCAAAAATGATATCTTTGTGTAAGTTCTAAGGTTCTGGAATTTAATGATAAGTACAACATATAAAAATTATTAGAATTTTGGATTAAGAATTAAATTGCGAAAGCGTTAAGGACTAAAATGCAATGTATAAAAATAGTTTCTGATTCGAGTGACTCACCATAGGAATCGCAGCAATATTTTGCTGCTATTTTACTTTGGAGATCTAGCTGATACCCTCGACTTCGTCCACGTTGCTTGATATGTCAAGAAAACACACATCACTGAATGCGTAGTGCTTGTAAGAATCGCTGTTTCTTAAAACTTTAATAATAACTTCATATTAAATGAAAATATCACAATATTTTTTTTGCAGATAAAGAAATAAAACTTAAAACTTAATGGAAATCTATCTATAATTTTTACAAGCTTTTCATCATCATCATCATTACAGCCCTTCACAAGTCTACTGCTGAACATAGGCCTCCCCAAAAGAATGCCACAAAGCACGGTCCTGAGCCACCTGCATCCATCGACTTCCTGCATGTCTTACCAGGTCGTCACTCCATCTCGTGGGGGGACGCCCTACACTTCGCCTACCGGTACGAGGCTGCCACTCGAGAACCTTTCTTCCCCATCGGTTGTCGGTT